ACGTGGAGATGGCTGGAAGCGACGCGGGAGGCTCGTCGCTTCGATTCGGCGCCGATAGATTCGCGCAGCCGTAATGTAATCAGTCAACCTCGCTCTCGCTCGGTTTCACTCGCCACTCCTCGCCGTACGCCTCGTCGAGCGCTCGCTCACGCTCCATCTCGAGCGATCCGTCGCGCAGTAACCTTCGCTGTCGACGTATCCACTGATACAGCGTCGCGTCCTCGCTGGACCTCGGGAGACGTTTGTTCGCCTGATAAAACGCGCGCGTCTCCTCGAGACGATCCTCCCACTTGGTGTGCACGCGCGTCGCCACGTCCCACTCCACACCAAGCGCCTCGAGCGCCTCGACGCGCTCGGGCGACAATCTCCCGTCTCGCTTCGCCCGTCGTTGATCCAATAACCAAAAATACAATCCATCCTCGGCGTCTTCGCCCGGGCGACAGTCTCCGCGAAGCCGCACGTGCGCCTCGAGCGCGGCCAATCGTTCATCCCACCGTCGAACCGCGCGTTCCTCGACATCAAAATCCACCCCTAAATCCCGCAGCGTCTCGTACCGTTCCTCCGACAGCGTTCCGTCTCGATGCGCCGCCACCTGATGACTCACCCATTTCGACAGCGCCGCGTCCCGTTCCGTCCCCCCCGCGCGCGCTCTCGCGAGCTCCCGCACGCGCTCTTCGAAGCTCACTCGCCCCCCTTTCGCTCGAACCTCTTTTCGCAACTCAAACGTCACCCCCAGCGCCTCCAACCGCGCCACGCGCTCGTCGCTCAGTTCGCCCCGCCGCGCCCGACCGCGTTGCCGCGCCAACCACCGCCGCTGCGCGTTCAACGCCCTCGGCAGCTCGATCGTCCCCCACATCGCCCGGTGCACGGCGATCTCGTCGTAATGCCGGTCCCACGTCCCACGCTCGCGCTCGCGCGCGCCCTCGTTCGCGCGCGCGATCGTCGTCGTCCGTTTCCATGATTGCATCGATGCGTTGCGTTGAAATGATGATTCACATCCATCGTTCCATCGCGTCGCCCCCGTCGTCGACGCCCGCGCGCGAGACGCGAAGCACGCGCGCACGAACGTCACGGGCACCATCGACGGGCGCGCCGGCGCCGGGGGCGAGGTACGGCGCCGACGCGCGCGAATGTGCGGTGCGCACATCGCGTCGCGATGTTCGCACCTCTCCCGCGCGCGCTCGTCCACGCCGCGCGTCGACGCGCTTCGTGGACGACGCCCGCACATTCGCGCGCGCGCGGTGGACCGAGCGACGGCGCGCGCGCGGCGACGGGGGCGAGACGGGCGGCGAATGTGTCGAGGGCGTTGCGATTGTCCATCGAAGACGCCCCTTGGGCGGCGCGCGAGATCGTCCACGCCGACGCGTTCGACGGCGTCGTCGTCCCGGATCTCCGTCGCCGGGACGCCGAGCACGGGGCGGGGGATCGGGATCGGTGGAGGGCGCGGGACGGGACGACGCGGACGACGTCGACGTCGGCGAGCGGCGGGACGACGGAGGCGGTGGCGCGAGCGATCGCGCTAGTGGCGATGGGTGGGACAAATCCGTCGATTTTGTGCGTGAGCGGTGACGGTGGGGCGATAGATTCGAGCGCGGAGGTGTTGGGGCGATTGCGAGAGGCGCGGGCGCGCGGGACGCTGCCGCGAGAGACGACGCTCTTGGCGGCGGCGAATCCAATGTTGGGCGCGACGGAGGCCGAGCGGGTGATGCGGAAGCGCGAGAGCGGGGCGGATGGGATCATCACCCAGCCCGCGCTGTTGCTCGGGCGGTTTGAGAGGTGGTGGGAGGCGTGCGAGCGTCTCGGCGCGTTTGACGGATTAGGCGAGAGCGCGCGCGAGAGCGGCGCGGCGAAAGGCCTCATCCTCGGCGTCGCGCCGATTCGCGACGTTCGAGGGTTAGAACTTTGGTTCAAGCTCACCGACGTCGACGGTGACGCCGACGCGGACGCTCGAGCGCTGCGCGATGAGTACGCCGCGAACGCGGCTTCGATGTCGCCCGAGCGCTTCGACGATTGGACGTTCGAGCGCTTCGAGCTCGCGACGACGCACGCCGCCTCCCTAGATCACGTCGCCGGCGTTCACGTCATGCCCATCACCCCCGGCGGGTACGCCCACGCCGCGCGTCTCGCTCGAGACGTCCTTCCGATGTTTCGTCGATGACTGTCCCGCCGCGCGCGTCGCCCGCGGCGTCACTTCGCCCCTCGCGCGCCGCGTCCCGCTCGTACACCGACGGGCGTCGACGTGGACGCACACCATGCGATTCTTGGTGTACTTTGTGCACCGCCACGTCGACTTCAGGTCCGTCGTCGCGTCGTCATCGATCGAACGCCGTCGCGCCGTGCACTTTTTGTCCCGCCGGCGGCGACGCGCCGCGCGCCTCGCTCGCCGCGCGCGCGCCCGGTGCGACCCCTCGGAACGATGACTGACGCGTACGCCCACGCGCGCGGGTCCACAGACGCGCGGAGTTCGAAAGCGTGGCGGAGACGTGTGGATGCTCCGCCGAGGCGCTGGAGTGGCGGCGCGCGACGCGGGACGAAACCGTCGGCGAGCGAAGAGAGACGCCGTTCTGGTACGTCGATCTCCCGAGCGAAGACGTCGCGCGAGCGATCGCGAAACGCGCGCTGTTAGTGCGAGGGATCGTGGAGGAGTGGGGGTCCGGGAATGATGACGCAGAGTGCGCGCGGGCGGTGGAGCGCTACGACGCCGAGAGAAAGACGCCGTTTCTACGAGAGGGAACGACATTTCGAGTGGAGGTGGAGGATTTTGGGATCCAGGGCGGAAGAAACCAGTTAAAATCGCGATTGGATGCGTTGCAGATTCCGTTCGAGGGAAAGGCGCGGTTGAAGGGTGAGGTTGACAACGTGTTTTGGAGCGCGGTGAGTAGCGTCGCTGGAGAGGAGGGAACGAGAGAGCGACGCGTCTTCTTCGGTAGGTTAGTCGGGCGGGGCGATCGATCGATGATCAAAAAGTATGAGCTTCCGGGGCGGCAGTACGTCGGCCCGACGTCGATGGACGCGGAGGTGGCGCTGTTAATGGCAAACATGGCCCAGGCGCGTCCCGGCGGCGTCGTGATGGATCCGTTTTGCGGCACGGGATCGATGCTCGTCGCCGCCGCGCACTACGGCGCGCTGACCATGGGATTAGACATCGACCCGCGAGTCATTAAGCACGGCAAGGCGGCGAAAATGAAGAATCAAGGAAAGTTCATGATGAAAGCGGAGGATGGGTCGACCGTCGACGTGTGGTCGAATTTCGCGCAGTACGGCTTACCGCCGCCAGTGCTGATTCACGGAGACTTGCACGCGTTACCCACGAGGGCGCACGGTTTGGAGGGGTATTTACAAGGTATCGTCGCCGACCCACCGTACGGCGTTCGAGCGGGCGGTCGCAAGAGCGGCGGTCGCAAGCCGTTGCCCGAGGACTACAGCATCCCGGAGGAATTGAAGGAGGGACACATCCCGAGCACCGCCCCGTACCCTTTCGGGGAAATGTGCGACGACTTGCTCGATCTCGCCGCGCGCTTTCTGTCCGTCGGCGGGAAGCTCGTGTTCTTTCTTCCGGGTTCGATCGCCGAGGCCGAACGAGAGATCCGAGACCTCCCGACGCACCCGCTCCTTCGCCTTCGATGGCACTCGCTCGAAACCTTCAACAATCTATGGGGTCGTAGACTCGTCACGTACGAGAAGATCGCGCCGTGGGACAGAGACGTGTGCGACAAAGCGCGATCAAACGCCGTGGAGGCGCGCGCGCGAAACTCTGAGCCCGATTTAATCGAGCGCATGCGCACGCTGGTCTACCAAAGCCGCGAGTCTCGCATCGCCGAGCTCGTGGAAGAAAAACAGAAACGACGCGGACGATCTCCGGCGCCCGAGAACTAGCCCTCTTCTCATCTAGTCGTTAGCGGTTTCATCGACGTCAGCGATCCTCGCGTCCACGATCGTCCTCGCGCGTCGCCGAAATCAAACCAAAGTCCCGTCCCGCTCCGCCGCGTCCTTAAAATCCAAACAAAAACGACCACCCTCCGACGCACAACCTCGTCTCCACCACACTCTGCGCGCGCGCGCGCGCTCGCGCGCGACGTGCGCGGCGCACCATGCGCGCGTTCACCGTCTCTCGACCGCGCGCGACGCCGCGCGCGCGTTCACACGGACGCCCGCGCGCACGAATTCCTTTGCTGACTCGGACACACTGGAACGAAATTCATCCACGAATCGCTCCGACGCGAGGCGTCCATGGACGCGCGCGCGTCGTCCTTCGCGCCAGAACGGCCGCACACCAAGCACCTCCGCGTCCAACGTCGCACGCGCACACGTGGGAGACGTACGGCGCCGTGGTCGGCGCCGTGGTCCCGCCCGGCGCGGTGGTCTTCGTGTTGGGCGCGCTCACGGTTTCGTTGTTCGGATTGTTGGTAAGTTGCCTGTTGACGTTCAGGGAGCTCGTAAGAGTGTGCCGAGAGGTGACGATCGCGTCGAGATCGGTGCGGAACTGCGCGAACGCGATCGAGAACTCGTGCGCGAGCGTCGATCGGTGCACGCGGAACATCGACGGAACGTGCGAAAAGGTGGATGATTTCTTAGAGCAGGCGAACACGATCGGGACGACGACGTCGAACATCTTGACCGAGGCTGGGTTGTTGCAACGACGGGTGACGGAGTTACCGACGACGATTTTGGGGGCGCTGGCGGACGCGGATGAGCCACCACCGCCGAGGAGCGTTCTGGCGAGTCGTACGATGCGAGACGGACGACAGATGGACGTCGCCGAGTTGGCGCGTAGGGACATCGTGCTCGGGAAAGAGATCACGGGAAGGCGATTAGGAAACGGTTGGATCGGGAGCACAATGCATAGATTCTTTTTCTCTCGCGATAATAAGTTCGATGTCGGGGAGTACGTGGCGGTGAAGCGGTCAAATAACACGTACACGTGGGGTGTGGTCGAGATGACGGACGAGGACTCTCAAGACGAAGGCGACGGCACCGGCGTGGACGGGACCGAACTGGTTCGAGACAGCGTGTTAGGGCCAGACGTCCCTGCTGACGTGGCGGCGTGCGACTGGCCGCCGAGAGATTTTCCCGCCGAGGAGCAGGCAAAGGCAATCGAAGAGGCGAACAAAATCACCCTCAGCAAGGTGTTCAAGGCGGTCATCCGAATGCCTCTACCGAAGAATTTGGGCGACCCCGAGCGACAGTACCGCGTCGTCGTCGAGCTCGATCGAGACTTGTATAGGTTCAAGTACGTCGACGCGTCGCTGATAGGGAAACGTTATTAGATGCACGAGACGCGTCCATTGTAGTAAAATTAATATCGTCGAGGCGCCTATTTGTTCATCTGAAACGCGCGTTCGCGTAATGCTTCGATACCATCTGCGTCAACCTATTCGCGTCCGCTCCACTGAAAGTTTCCACTTTATTTCCATCCATGTACACCGCGAATGTCGGCATGGAACTCACGCGCTCCTGCCCCGCGATTTCCTGCGCCGCGTCCACGTCGACCTTGATGAAATGCGCTCGCGGAAACTTCGTCGAAAGGCTCACGAACGTCGGTCCAATCATCTTACACGGCCCGCACCACGTCGCCGTGAAGTCTACGAACACCAATTTCGCCCCCCGAACGAGCGCTTGATACTCGCTCCACTCCTCGACGTTCCGCGCGCCCGCTTTGCGCTCGCTCTTCCCGAGCGCCCGTCTCGCCTCGTTCGCACTCCGCACCAAGTCTTCATCCCCGGGAAGTTCAAACACCAACGCATCGTACACCGCATCCGCCTCTCGATGTCGCCCGAGCGTCATCAACGCCGCCGCCTTACGCATCTTCGCCTTTACGAAGCTCTCGTCCCGCGCCAACGCCGCCTCCGCGTCCGCCAACGCCCCCGACGCGTCACCCACGCGCATCTTACACGCCGCGCGATTCGAAAACAATATTCCCGCCCCCGGAACGCCCGCGCACGTCTCCAACCCCTCCCCGTACGCCTGCATCGCCTTTTCGTACTCGCCCGCTCGAAACGCTTCGTTCCCGGCGTCGCGCGCCCGCTTCGCGATCTCCAACGCGCGCCCCTTTTCTCCCGCCCCCTCGATCGCGTCCTCGAACGATCCCCGCCCCGAGGTCAACAGCGCCTCCAACCGCGTCGTCGCCCGCGCGTATCCCTCGTCGTACGACCACGCGCGCGCGCACAGCGTCGTCGCCGTCGCGTCATCGCCCAGCGCGATCGCCACCACCGCTTCATTCCCCACCGCCAACGCCCGCTCGCGGTCATCCGTCGCCGCCGCGAGCGCCGATCGGTACTTCTCTCGCGCGTCGACGAGGTTTCCATCGCGCAGGAGCGCGTTTCCGTCCCGTCGCAGCGCGTCCGAGCGCATTCGTGCGGTGCCGAGCAATGCGGCGCATCGCGCGTTCGCTCGCTCGCTCGCTCGCTCTCGCGCGCGAAGGCACGACGCGCGCGCACGCGCACGCGCACGGGCACGGCGCGCGCGCGTACGGGACGCGACGCCCGCCGCCGCCGGCGAACGTGAGCCGAGAGAGCGCGTGTTGGGAAGCGGTGACGGACGCGCGCACGGGAAAGACGTACTGGTGGAACGTCGAGACGGACGAGACCACGGACGTGGACGCGGCGCGACCGAAGACGTACAGTGTGGTTGACCCGACGATGCCGGCGCCGATGGCGAGCGATCGGGCGCCGCCGCCGGCGCGGTACGAACGCGACGGGGTCGGCGGGATCGCGGGCGGATTTGGGTCGATGATGGCGCAAGGGGCGGCGTGGGGGATGGGATCGTCCATGGGACACCGAGCGATCGGTGGGTTGTTCGGTGGGTCGTCGTGGGGCGGTGGATCGTCGATGAGCGGGGGGGGGGCGGAGAACACCGCGCCGCCGGCGAATCCGTTCGAGAGCGGCGAGTTGGACGACGACGCGATGGACGATGGATACGGCGATGGCGGTGGATCGCTGTTCGATTTCTTTTCCGAGGACGAGTGAGACGAGTGCGCGCTTTTACCAGTCTCGAATGCGCGCTCGCGCGGCGATGTAAAATCACAACACGTTTATTCAGTCGGCGGGACTCGGACTCGCCATCGGGCTCGTCATCGGGCTCGCCGTTCGGCTCCCGGCCTCCTCCTCAGCCTTCAACTTCGTCTCTTCGTCCCTCGCGATGTTCTCCTCGATCCACTTCCGCAGCGTGCTCGATCCGAATCCGTAGTCTTCCGGAAGCTTCACGTAGTCTCTCGTCTCCGCATCCGGCTTTTTCCCCCAGTGCTTTGGAAATCTGCGCACCTTGTTCCACGGCCGATCGGGATTTCGCATCAAGATGTACTCGTACTTGTTATTTTTCACGCCACCCGAGCCGTTTGACAGCGGCGTGTCGTGCTCGTATTTCGTCCCGCGCGCGTCGCCGAACATGTTCACCTCGTCCCGCGCCGCGAACAACCACACGTCGATGCGGTTCTTCTCATCCAGATCCACCCCAACGCTCTTCACGCGCACGAAGGGTAAGACGTCGTTCTTGACGAAGGACGTCGGGGCGGGATCGAGCACGACTTTGGTCTTCTTGGGTTTGATCGCGCCGCTCGGGGAGCCTTTGGTGTTGCGCGCGAGCGCAACGGCGCCGGCGATGGCGCACACGACGACGATGACGGGTTTCATGGAGCCTCACGCGTGATGTAACCGATGCGCGGGGTCGATCGAACGAGTGATCGAGTCGCGGGGACGGACGCGCGCGAGTGAATGCGGGACGCGCGGGGGCGTGGAATTTCGGAGCCGCGAACGAGACGCGTCGACGGATTTTCTCTCTAAATCTTCTCGTATACCGTCACAACAAAATGTCCGATCGTTCCGCTCACTCCTTCTCGCCCGATTTTGACTTTTTCTTCTTTTCCTCGGCGTTCGTCCTGCGCTCGCGCTTCAGACCCTTCATCTTGTGTTGGCCGAGCTTCTCCAATCCGACTTGCTTTTCGACGTACAGGCGACCAACCTTACCCTCGACGTTATCCATGGAGACGTTCTTTTGCTTCTTCGTCACGCGTGCCTTTTGGTAGGCCTCACGCTTGAGATCAGGCGGGGCCTCTCTGTGTCGACCGACCGTGAAATCGAACGACGGACCCATCTCCTCGAGCGCAATCAACGGCAGACGCGTACCGGATTTCTTATACTTGATGGCGTACTGACGAAACATCACGCTCGGCTTTCTCCCAGGTTGCGGCACTGACGTGCACACAATCGCTCGATCGATCCCTTTCAGGTTGATTCGATCCACGACGCGTCCGCGAAACACGTCGCTCAAGACGTTTTTGAATAACTTTAATCCGTCGTCTGAATCAAACTCCTCGCCCAAGAAACAAATGCACGGCTTGCTCCCGGCCACCGCCCCCTTCCCCGCCCCCTTAAACGCTCGCATGGATTTAAAATCCGTCACCAACACCTCAATCTGATCGAACAATCGATACTCGAAGAATCTTCCGAGGGTCACGCAGTGCGGTCGTTTTTTCTGATGCGTCCCCAAGACGTACGCGCTCGCGTCCGCCTTTCTCGCGAAGAATTCCAACGACGTCTCCCCCCCTCCCTCGAACGGTCGCACCCCTGGGTTCTTCCGCGTCATCTTCCTCGCCTCCAACGTCTTCATCGACGCTAAATCGCTCAGTAATTCCTTCAGGATTTGACTCGAGTTTTGCCCGTGCAGGAAGAGCGTCGTCTTGCCAGCCTTTTCAACCTTTTTGGGCGCGCGGGCGAGCAGCGCGCGCTTCCCGGCGTTGGTTTTCGCGCGTTTAATCTCCATCTTACTCTCCATCGCGGCGTCCATGGTGAGGCGCGTCGGGGAGTGGGGACGCGGCGTTGTTTTTTTTTGCATTTCGACGTGGCGGCGGCGGCGCAAGTGACTCGGGCTCTTTGGCGCGACGCGAACGCATCGCACGCGTGTGACGAGCGAAGAGAGGAACGGAGGGCGTGATATTTGAACCGCGAGCGGGATAATTCATGTAAAGCTAAGTTAAGCCTAATCGAGCTCCTTGCCGATGTCGGCGGGGAGGAGGTTGGCGGATTTGAGGAGGTCGCCGTCGTCGAGCTTGATGACGACGGCGCCGAGGGAGTCGGTGGTGGAGCGTCTGGGGAGGTCGTTGACGGATATTCTGTTCGAGATCCCGTTCGTGGTGCTGAGTAAGACTTCGTCGGCGACGTCGTCGCCCAGGCGATCGATCAGCGTGATCGTGGACAGGGCGTCTTGTTCGTTCTTTTTGAACTTCATGCACATGACGCCGGCGCGCGCCTTGCGGAGCAGGCGGTACGCGTTGGCGGGCACAACCTTACCGACGCCTTTTTCGGTGATAAATGAGATGTACGGTCCGCCCTCTTCGCTCGCGTTCGCCATACGTTCGGCGGAGACGATGACCATACCGGCGGTTCTCGCGGGTAACATCTCGTCGCCGCCGTCGTCAGCATCATCGTCGGCGTCTTCGTCGTCGCCGACGACGCTCGTGTCGTCGCTCGTCTTCGGGACGTCGTTCAAGAACTTGATCCCTACCACCGGTCTGATCGCCGCCTTGACTACGCGGAAGTCACTCACTTTACAGTGAAGTAGCATCGCTCGCGCCTTTGCGTCCCTGGCAGATCCCGAGATGAAGACGTGGTCCGAAGTGCGCGCGTACATCACCTGCTTCAATCTGTCACCCTTCTCGAGCTTGATCGCTCGCTTGCCTCTGTTCCCTAACATCCACGCCGCGGAAGCGACGGCGATTCTACCCTGTTCTGTGAGCATGACGACGACCTGGTCGTCCGACACCTCGTCGGATTTGGCACTCGTGGCCAACATGGCGGTTACTTTTTGGTTTCGCTTGGCAAACGACGTCACCAGGTTCGTCACCGGTACGCCGATGGTTTTGAGGTCCGACTCCGGAATCATCTTCGCCGACACCTTTTGAACTCGACCGCGATCGGAGAAGAACAAAATTTGATCGGTGTCCATGCAGTGCATCGCCGTGGAGAGCTCGTCGTTGGCGCGGAGCTTGCTCATGCGCTTGCCTCTCGTCCCTCGAGCTTGCGCTCCAAAGTTGGTCGGACACACGCGCTTGACGTACCCGCGCTCGGAGAGCGTGATAATGTTATCTTTTGGCGGACCCTCGTCCTCGATGACGCCGTCCGACGGGCCCGTTTGTTCGAGCGTCGTTCGTCTCTCTCGCGCGAACGCCGTCTTGGCCTCCTGCGCCTCCTGAATGAGCACGTCAATCACCTTGGATTTATCGTTCAACAAGCCTTGGTAGTATTCTATCTGTCCGTTCAAATCTTTCAACTCAGCGTCGAGCTTATCAGCCTCGAGTCCGGTCAAGCGACGCAGCGGCATGGCGAGAATGGCGTCCGATTGGATCTCAGACAACCCGTGCTTCTCGCGCAACTTTTTCGCCGCGGATGGACCATCCTTGGAGCCTCTGATTATTTTCACCACGCCGTCGGCGTCGGTGAGGACGAAGGCGAATCCCTCGACGAGATGCTTTCGATCTTGCGCCTTGCCGAGCATGAACCTCGTACGACGCTCGATCGTGTCCACGCGAAACTTGATGAATTCGTCGAGCATGTCTCGAAGCGGCATCACCGTCGGCTTGTTCCCGACGAGCGCAACGTTATTCACGTTGTAGTTCACTTCCAGCCTCGTCTTCTTGTAGAGCTCCGCCAAGACAGTCGAAGCATCGTGTCCGCGTTTGATCTCGATCACAACGCGCATGCCGTCGCGATCGCTCTCGTCGCGAATGTCGCTCACGCCCTCGATGGTTCTGGAGTTGACGTGGTCGGCGATTTGTTCAACCAGACTCGCCTTGTTCGTCTGATACGGAATCTCGCTGATGACGATCACCGCCTTCTCCATCGTCCCTCGCGACGCGGTCGCGGTCTCGATCGTCGCCCGTCCTCGAAGCGTCACCTTGCCCTTGCCCGTTTCGTAGATGTCCTTCATCGAGCTCTTATTCGTGACGACGCCACCCGTGGGGAAATCCGGCCCCGGGAGGTGTGCCATGAGATCGTCCAGAGAGCTATCCGGATTCTTCGCCAGCGCGCACATCGCGTCCACGGCCTCACCGAGATTATGCGGCGCCATGTTCGTCGCCACCGCGACCGCGATACCGCTCGAGCCGTTGATCAACAGATTCGGCACGCGCGCCGGGAGCACCTCGGGCTCCGTCTGACTCCCGTCGAACGTCTCCGTGAACCCCACGCACTCGCTCGCGATGTCCGCCAACAACGCCTTCTCGCTCACCTTATTCAACCGACACTCCGTGTATCGCATCGCCGCCGGCGGATCATCGTCCAACGACCCAAAATTCCCGTGTCCGTCCACCAACGGCGCCGACATTGAAAAATCCTGCGCCAACCGCACCAACGCCTCGTACACCGCCCCATCACCGTGCGGATGAAACTTCCCCAACACGTCCCCGACCACGCGCGCGCACTTCCTATGCGGTTTATCGCTCCGCAACCCGAGCTCGTGCATGCCGAACAGAATCCTCCGATGCACCGGTTTCAACCCGTCCCGCGCATCCGGCAGCGCGCGTCCAACGATGACGCTCATCGCGTACGACAGGTACGACGTCTTCGCCTCCGCCGCGAGCTCGACGTCCACCACGCGCTCACCCGCGCCCGCGCCCACGGACGCCCGCGTCGTCATCCGCGCCGTCCGCGTCGTCGTCCGCGCCGTTCGCGCCCGTCGCGCGATTCTCACATCCCTCATCCTACCCCCCACGCCCATCGCGCGCGCCCCCATCGAGACCTCGCGCGTGATCCCGCGCGCGATCACGCTCGAGCGACGCCCCGAAGACGACGCGGACGCGCGCGCGAGCGCCAAGCGCACCGCCAAGCGCATCGATCGATGCGTCGACCGCGTCGACGGGTTCGCCGTCGTCGCGCCGTCGCGCACGCGCGTCCGCGTCGTCGGCCGCGTCGTCTTCGGCGCGACGCGGGCGAGGCGTTCGCGTCCGCGCGCGCGTCGCGCGGTCGACGCGGGCGATGATCGTCGTCGGTGATTGCCGACGATGTGTAATTTAAAATGAAACATCGTCAAGACAAAAGCCTGAACTCGATGAAATCACATCTCAGCGCGTCGCGCGCTCGCCCGGCGCGCGCGTCGCTCGATGAGCGCGCGGGTGGTGCCCTGGGCGTCCGCGGAGGAGTGGCGCGCGGTCGCGCGCGAGGTCGCGCGCGCGATCGCGGCGAATGCACGGCGCGACGCGATCGCGGCGAATGAATCGCGCGCGTTCGACCGCGCGCTCGACGCGTGCGCGTCCTGGCGGGTCAAGGGACGGATCCCGTGCGCCGTGGACGTCACGGCGACGCTGTTGTCGCTCGAACGCGACGAAGAACGCGGGGATGGGGACGCGGCGGCGATCGGACACGCCCGGGCGCTGGCGCTGTGTCGACTCGTGAACGGCGTCGTCGATCCGGGGCAGAAAGGACGGTACGCGGCGCCGGTGGCGACGCTCGCGATGAAAGCGAAGATTCCGAGGTCGTTGGTGGATCTTCGGCACGAGGCGACGCACGGGACGATGCCGAGTGCGGGGGCGTTGCGACGCGGCGCGCGGGCGGCGCTCGAGTGGTGCGCGCGGTGGTACTGGGACGAACAGGCGCGGGCGTACGATGAGAGCGAACGGAGGATTCGATCGTGCGCGCGAGAGATGTGGTTGTGTGAGGGGTGGGCGAGGACGCTGTCGCGGCGAAACGCGAGCGGGGCGGTGTCGAGCTCGAGCGAGAGCGAGAGCGAGGACGCGGACGCGGACGCGCGCGCGGCGAGCGACGCGCCGAGTGATTTTAAGGGTGTCCGAGAGCGCAGACGAGCGGCGATGGGGGCGCTGACGAGCACGTGTCCGCGAGGGAGCGCGCACGTCATCGCCGAGGCTTTGTTCTCCGGATGTTTGCCAGACGAGGGCGAGGATGAAAGTCGTCGACGAAGATGGTTGCGAGTCGTCGAGGACGACGACGACGCGCGCGGGGAAGATTTCGAAGACGGTGTCGTTCGCGAGAGCGATTGGCGACCGACGTTGGTGAGATTGTGTCAGAAATGGCCGAATCTTTTCGCGCTCGCGCTGGACGACGTCGTTCAAAGGTGTTTGAGCTCTGGAACGGGCGTCGCGGACGATTTCGTCTTTGAACTGCGCGCTGCGCTCGACGTCGCCGCGAGCGGTGAGATCGAATCCTCGTGTTATCAGGGCGCCTTAAATCGCGCCATGGCGCGATTGGGCGACGACGTGTGCAGAAATGCGTCTTCAAAATCGACGACGAAGGAGTTACGGAAGCTCGCTGGGGTCTCCAAGGACGACGCGTCGAAATTCGCCGGAATCCACCAAGGCGGCGCGAACGCGGCGAGTTGCCCCGACGACGCCGCGGCTGAAATCGCGAACCTTCGCGAGAGCCTTCGAACCGGACGCAAGCGTCGACGCGACTCGAGGTGGTCCAAGACTGAGGCTTGGACGCCGTCGCCCATCGGCGTCGTCCCGGGCGTCGCCGTTAGAGAGTTGGCGTTCTACGACGACGACGCGTCGCTGAAGATTCACGTGTGCTCGAACGGTGAGCAAAATCGCGGAATTAAGCGCGTGGTCGGGTTAGAGGACACCTCTAGGATGTTTCGCGAGTTGGAGGCGGACGCGGTCGTCGTCGAGACGCCGAACGATCCGCGCTCCGTCGACGACGTCTCCGGCGCCATCACGGTCGGCGGCGCGCGCGTGGAGCTGTCGAAAGATCAACGAAAATCCATCGCCGCCTCGGTGTCGTGCCTGTTGTAGCGAAATTGGAATTAGTGTACTAACAATTCTAATCGAAATCGCGGCGCGGAACGTCACGCCTTGCGATACACGAGCAGCAAATTGTTCGCCGGCATCGCGACGGGATGTTCCTCGTCCGGAACCAGCCCACACCGCGCGGCTTCGACGTCCATGAACGTTTCCACGTCAACCAACCCGAAATTCACCGGATCTCGCGACCGTAAGCTCGCGTCAAACTTCTCGTCGCCCGGGCCGCTAAACTTTCCGCCGTCTCGCGTAAACGGCCCGTACGCGAACAACAACCCACCTCTCCGCAGCGCCTTCTTCGCCCCAGCAAACATCCCGAGCACCGCGTTTCGCGAAGATATGTGACACATATTCACCACCACGATTCCATCGTACGCCTCCGCGTCCACGACATCCGCCATCGTCGTCGCGTCCGTCGTCCGCGCGTCCCGCACGACATCCTCCACCCCCGCCCCTCGCGCGTTCGCTCGCACCGCGTCGAACCGCGAAGACGTCAAATCACTCGGGTCGTACGCGCGCACCGCCCCCTGGAGCTCGCGCGCGATCATCGCCGCGTGCGCGCCGTCACCGCACGCGAGTTCATAAAAATCAAACATCCCTCGCGCGCTCGCGGCGTGCGCGCGCACGAAGGGCGCGATCGCGCGCGCGATCGGGCGCGCGTTTCGCGTCGCCGCCTCGCTCGCGGCGACGAGGTTAAATCGATCGCCCGAGGTCTCGGTCGCGCCCATGATGGGGCGTCGCGCGGTGTGGGCGGGCGTGTGCGTATTCAATCGTATATAACGCGATGTATGCATCTTCGGACACCACACGGCCCCGACTCTGGCTCGTGGGCGATATATGGGGTAAAATGTGCCCGAATACGTGA